GGCTGAAATCCTGATGGCGATCAAAGACGCCCCGTACGTGAAGTGGCCACCCCGTCTGAGGGGGAATCCCAATGAAAGAAATAAGAATCTGTATTGCAGTTTTCACAAAGATCACGGTCATAGTACCGAGAGTTGTAAAAACCTCCGCGACGAGATAGAGGAGTTCATCCGTCGCGGATATCTAAGAAACTTTGTACAGAATAATAATAATAGAAATAAAACAAGTCGGAAAGGGGAGCACGATAAGGATGCTCCCAAGTCCAGCAGCAGGCCGACCGAACAACCGCAGAGGCAGCCCCCGGAGGAGAGGCCAGTTTGGGGGACCATCGACATGATAGTGGGAGGTTCGATCGTCGTGGGTTGCATGTCAGCAACAGCTCAGACGTTAGTTCGTGAGGCCACCCAGGAGGAACTGAACCCCCCAAAGCGGCCGAGGACAGAAGAGCCAATCTTCTTCACAAAAGATGACGCGCGAGGGGTCCACTATCCCCATGATGACACACTTGTAATAAAACTAAGAATCAACGACTTCGAGGTCAGGCGTGTACTCGTCGAATCAGGCAGCTCAGTCGACATCCTCTTCAAAGCTACATTTGACCAGCTTCAATTACAGAGAGGCGACCTAAAGCCTACAGACACTCCTTTGGTGGGCTTCAGCGGATAAGAAGTCCGGCCCCTTGGGAAAGTAACAGCACCTGTGGAAGTCGGCAGATGGCCTTGTGTGGTCAGATTCAAATACGACTTCCTGGTGGTTGCAACCCCCTCCCCCTACAATGCCATAATAGGTTGATTGATCACCCATGTTCTACGGGCGGTGGTCTCCACCTACCATCTGGCTATGAAGTTCCCTACAGACTTTGGTGTGGGGGTAGCGCGGGGCGACTAGCTCAAGTCCTGCAAGTGCTATGTCGCCACCCTGAAGGGAAAGACGAAGGTAGTCGACGACCTCGAACTGGAGCAACCTATGGAGCAAGGCGAAGAACGAGCTGCGCCCATAGAAGAAACTGTCGCAGTCCCGACCTCAGCGGCATACCCAACTCGGACGCTTCAAATCGGCACTTCTGTCCAGAAACCTTTACGATTCGAATTGGTAAGCTTCTTACTTCAAAATTTAAATATTTTTGCATGGTCCACGGCAGAGATGCCCGGTATAGACCCCGAACTCATAACTCACAAGCTGAATACTGATCCTGTAGTTAGGCCCGTTAGACAGAAGAAACAAAACCTAGCCCGGAGCGGTGGAAAGCGGTCGACGAGGAGATCGAGAAACTCCTCGCAGCTGACTTCATAAGAGAAGTCTATTACCCGAGTTGGGTAGCCAACCCCGTTCTGGTAAAGAAGGCTAACGGCAAGTGGCGCATGTGCGTTGACTACACCGACCTAAACCGAGCCTGCCCGAAAGACTGCTTCCCGCTCCCCAGAATTGACCATTTGGTGGATGCGACCTCAGGGCACGAGTTGCTGAGTTTCTTAGACGCCTATTCGGGCTATAACCAAATCAAGATGGACCCGACGGACGAAGAAAAGACTGCCTTCATCACAGAGTTCGGTCTGTATTGTTACAAAGTTATGCCCTTCAGGTTGAAAAACGCAGGGGCAACTATTCAAAGACTTGTAAATAAGTTGTTTGCGCCATTAATTTGTAGAAAAATTGAATGCTATGTAGACGGCATGGTCGTCAAAACTCAATTCTCACATGAATTGATACATGATTTAAATTCTGTTTTTGAAATTTTGCGTAAGTTTAATATGAGACTGAACCCAAACAAGTGTGTGTTCGGTGTGACCTCAGATACATTGTTAACCGGCACGACATTGAGGCCAACCCTGATAAGATTAAGGCCATTTTAGACATGAGACCACCCCGGAAGTTGAAGGAGGTTCAGAGGTTGAATGACCGCGTAGCTGCCCTAAGCCGCTTCATGTCTAAATCGACGGACCGTTGTCTGCCATTCTTTAAGGCAATTAAGAGCAAAGGGTTCGAATGGGCCCAAGACTGCCAGCTCGCGTTCGACGAGCTCAAGACGAAGTGGTCAGTTTGGTGCTAATAAAGGAAGTAGATCGGGTCCAATGACCCATCTATTATGTTAGTAAAGTATTGCGGGGAGCAAAGACGAGATACCTGAAGATAGAAAAGCTAGCATACGCACTGGTAATTGCAGCTGGGAAGCTCCGCCCGTACTTCCAAGCTCATACTGTTATCGTCCTCACCGACAAACCTTTGAGGCAAGTATTACTTAAGCCCGAGGTCTCTGGTCGGTTGACGAAGTGGGCCGTTGAGCTCAGTGAGTATGACCTCCAGTACAAGCCGCGAACTATTATCAAGCCCAAGCCTTAGCAGATTTCATAGCCGAATGCACATTCAGCTCCAAAGTTCCCAGGCCGGTTGAGCACAAGGCTCCCAGCTCAGGCGAGCCCGAAGCTTCCAGGCCGGTCGAGTCTGAACCCGTGAGGTAGCAGCCAGTGTGGTACCTCTCCTAGCTCGGCCAACCGCGAGTTGGGATGAGGAGCCCTAGATCCTTCACGTAGATGGCTCCTCGAACCAAACGGCAGCGGAGCCGGAATAGTTCTCCACGGCCCAAGCAGCACGAAACTGGAGTACGCGCTATGCTTCGTGTTCGCGGTGTCTAACAATGAAGCAGAGTACGAGGCATTGATAGCTGGACTAGCCCTAGCCAGAGAAGTAAAAGCAAAGCACATTGTTATCTGCAGTGACTCCCAGCTCGTGGTCAACCTGGTCACCAGCGAGTACGAAGCTCGCGAGCCAACCATTATCGCCTACTTGACCAAAGTCTGAGAGGCCCTGCTCAACTTCCAGTCACACTTCATCAGGCAGATACCAAGGTCAGAGAACGTTGATGCCAACGGCCTGTCCAGACTAGCCAGCGCCAGCGACATCACCATGAGGACTGTGTACATAGAGGACTTGCTCCGGCCTAGCATTCTCGGGGGGCAGAAGAGGTCACTCCCGTCGTTCAAGTAGAGCCGAACTGGATTGACCCACTCACGAGCTTCCTGCTACACGGGACCCTCCCTACAGATCGCAATGCAGCCAGAAGGGTGCAGTGCCAGGCAGCCAAATACGTTATGAGAGACGAACGACTGGACAGGAGATCCTACACGCTCCCCTATCTGTGTTGCTTGCAACCTACCGAAGCCGAGCTTGTACTCCACGACACTCATGAGGGATTATGCGACAGACACTTGGGGGGCAGGGCCCTCACCTAGAAGGCACTTCGATAGGGGTATTATTGGCCAACAATGAAAGCAGACGCTATTGAGTTCGTCAGAAAATGTGACAAATGCTAGAGAGATGCCAATATTCACCATCAACCCGCTGCCGACCTCAAGTATTTCACTAGCCTGTGGCCCATTGCACAATGGGGCATCGATCTACTCGGGTCATTCCTGCCAGCAACGGGTGGAAGGAAGTTCTTAGTAGTGGTAGTGGACTATTTTACCAAGTGGGTAGAGGCCGAACCCCTTGTAACAATCACAACCCGAAATGTCCAAAACTTCTTTTGGAAGAACATCATGTGTCACTTTGGATTACCTCGGGTATTGATTTCTGACAACGGCAAGCAGTTCAAAGATATCAAATTCCAAGACTAGCGCCAGGACATGGGAATCCGACAAAATTTTACTTCAGTCGCACACCCTCAAGCAAATGGCCAGGCAGAAGTTACAAACA